GTGGAGGATTTCTACCCTGTAGCACTTGATGGAGCTGATTCCAACAGCTGACAACATCAGTGACTTATTAAATATTTGCTTAATGAATGAGCAGAATGAGTTGTCATTGCTTTTCAGCTTTTCCCGTATGATTATACTGCTACTCCTACCATGTTTATGATTTAATGACGATATTCCAGAATTCTTGTAATCGGAAGTCTCTTATTCCTGACATTTGAAACCACTTAAAACAGTCTTTTCCCAAAACTTGTTCCAATTCTTGGTTCTCTAGACATCTTGTTTTGGTCATTGGATTTAAGGATTGTACTTTGTTCTAGAAACTACAAATTTTCAGTCTTTCTCTGGGTGATTGATCAGTATGCAGCTCAAATCTTAACACTTCACTGAAGTAGTCACTAGAAGTATTCACTAAAACCATTCCTCCTTCTTGCTACTCTGAACCAGTGAGTTGACACCACCTCCTAGTGACTCTTACTAAACATCAGATCCCACGTTTTGCCCTATTTTGTGCCAGTCTCACGTTCTTTGCCATGCTCAGGCCCATTGTTACAGTCACTTCCAATCCAGTTTACTGAAACTCCTCTTTTCTTTGACCCTCCACCTTTCCCTGCATGATGTCCTTTTCCAAGGACTAACCCCTCCGGGCAGTCCTTAGTATGTGAGATGAAATTTCACCATCCTTGTATCTGAGAAGCATCCTGGTTGCACTTCTTGCAAGACAGACTTGTTTGTTCTTTTGGAGGTCCATGGGATATTCATATTCTTCTCCAGCACATACTCAAAGGCATTGATGATTCTTCAATCATCCTTATTGAACTGTTAGATGCAGATCAAGTAATTGAAAAGACCATGGCTTGAATCAGACTTAGTCTTTAAATGGACGTCATTGCTCTTTAGTACTCTGAAGAGGTCCTTGATAGCAAATTTTCCCCAGTGGAAATGTGTCTTTTGATTTCTTGACTGCTGTGAACCTTGGGTGTTGATTGTGGATCTAAGTAAAATGAAGTCCTTGTTAACTTCAATCTTTTCTGTCTGTCATGATTGTTGCCTGTTGGTCCAGTAGTGAAGAGTTTTCTTTTCATGGTGTTGAGATATAATCCATATTGAAGGCTATAGTCTTTGATCTTCTTTAATAATTGTTTCATATCTTGCTAAATTTCTGCAAGCAAGATTGTGTCATCTGCATAATGCAGGTTGTTGATGAGTTTCCTTTGAATTCTGATGCCACATTCTTCTTCATATAGTCCATCTTCTTTTTTTGCTAGAAATACAAATTCAAGTCATTCAAATTCAAGCATGTCCAGACCGTGGTGACAAACTTAGGTGCATATGAGCACCACGTCAGGGACAAGGGACAGGAGTGAATCCGAGGCCCAGAGAAGGTATGAGAATGGGCCTTTGGAGGCTCCTTGGTGTACACCCACCTCCACAGTGGTTACTTCCACCTTCCCAGTGACTGTGAAGGGCCTTACAGGTCCCTGTTTTCCTGGCTCCCACCTCACCCCTGCCTGGCCAAGGTTTTGAAGGTCAGGTTCAAGAAGTTCTACCCTCCCTTGCTCCATCCTCACTTGTTCAGGTCTCCAGCCTCCCTCTCTTCTTTCACCTACACATTCTTCTCTGTGACTAGTAGCAGATTAGGGTACTGTACCAGGAGGGGGGCGGAGGGAGGGCCTGGAGATGACGTGAAGAGAGACGAGCGAGCTGTCCAAGGACCCTTTTCTTCAAGGGATCCCAAACTGTACAAGCAGCTCCTCTTTAGCGTCTAAGCGGATCTGAGAAAGTGCACTGTCGGCATAAGCAGCTATGCTGGAGACCTGCTGCAAGTCAGAGAAGGAGATGGGCTTGCGGGCCAGCACCGGGCTGTGTGAAGGGGGGCCGTGTGTGTGTGTGTGTGTGTGTGTGTGTGAAAGGGGTGCTGTGTGTGTGTGAGAGAGAGAGAAGG